ACGAAATTCTTTTTAAGTGGTGGAGATTGTGATGACCAGAAAACTCTTAGGATTTTAATTTAATTTTAGTTGCTAAGATTGAGTATTTAATTTTTATTGGAGATTGTTTTGAATTGATTTAGTTTTGTGCTTATATATTTATTGTATCAGTTTCGTATGGTGAAGGGGAATGGACACTGGGACGAAATTCAGAGAGAAAAGGAAAAGTTAGTGGGTTTGACTTAGTTTTTACATTTGTTGGAAGGGTAAAAGGGGAGCTACCGAATTGAGAGGAAATGAAGTTTAATGGTTTTGTATTAGCGGGCCCACAGGAGATGGAGTAAAGGAAAAGTTAGTGGGTTCTCTATACCTTGAATGGCATGGGGTGATTTTGCTTCAAATGGTTTGATTAAATGTTTTGATAAAATGCATATGTATTTTGTTTATACTCACCTATATATGTTTATTTTGTGAAGCTGTTTTATTAAACCTCCATGAAATTCTTGTTATGGTTTTTCCTACTGTGATTTTTGTCTCACCACCCTCTAGTTTCAGATAGATATGAGCTTAGGCTGAAGAGTCGGCGTTGCAGGATTTTATTTATTTATTTGGAGATTTTTTTTTTTTTTTTGTATATATTTGAGGAAATTGAATTTGTATAAAAGAGGGCATTTTTTTATGATCCTGGGTGTATTTTGATATATTTGGATGTGTATAAATTGAGGATTTTATTAGAAAATTTTCGAGGCGTGACAAAATGGTATCAGAGTGTGACATCAAGTCCCTAAGAAGTGTATCCACCTCAACTAGTTCCGTGGGATTGGAGTTAGAATTTTCACCAGCATCACCCCTTGTCGGCCTAGGGCCAACTCCCTTTAGTTCCTTTCGTGGTGGCATCGTGCTATAAAACGAGAAAATGGTTCAACAACAATGACACTAAGGTTCAACCGAGAACGACGTTCTCACATGAATGACTCAACATGAACAATAATATATATACTAACACTTAGCATGCAAGGCTATGTAATAAATATATCAACATAAGCATATAAACACATAAGCAAATAAACAGTTAAGCATGCTTTTTAAATAACAAAACACTTTAGCAAATAGCCACATAAACAATGCAAATAACTTCCCACATAACCCTAGGTAGGCCTCTACCTGTCGTCCTAATGGTTTTTGAACCATTGCTCTGATACCAATTTTGTAACGACCTGAACCGGGGGTCCGAATCGCTAACCGGGTCTTTAACCAAACCCGAGAACACACTAGGGGTAAAATGGTCATTTTATAATATGAAAGGATAATCTATCCTTAAATTCGGTGAGGTTCCATGATACTCGGTGAGGTTCTACAGTCATCGGTTATGAATTCCCAAAAGTACCCTTACTTCAAGGGGAATTCCGACACTGTTCTATTAAAACAACCATAACTTTAAACATGAATGGAATTTGAAAATGAGGTTGGTCTCATTAGAAACTCAAAATCCTTGAAAATGGACTCAAGAATGACCCTATTTGGGTTCGGAATGAAGAAGTTATGACCGCCTGAAGTCAAAAGTTCCAAGTTGTCAACTGAAGAAGCCAAATTAGTGCACTAGGGGACTTGAATCGGTTCAGTGGGGCTGAACCGGTTCAAGATGGGCAGTGTGCCCACTCAAGAATCAAATGCACCTCCTTGAAGCAGTTCAATGGGGCTGAACCGGTTCAAGATGCCCAGAACCCTAAAAATGCCCTAGAAGCTTAAAATTATGAACTTGTGCATCTAGGCACTCCTTTGGTCCCTTGGTGACCTTACTTAAAGCCCAAACCTACCCCAAATCTTTCATTTGATGATGAAATTAATACAACTAGGTAGTATTTCATTCCATTAAAGCCATACATGAATCCGTTACACCATTAAAATTAAACAAGTCCGTCATACATAAAAAATATGGCTATGGACATTGAAATCATAATGAGACCACAAAATACAAGAGAATGGTCTCAAGACCATTTCCAACCATGTAGTAGATACAAAATGACCCCTAATACTATTTAGAACAAAAATGACTAATATACACATCGAGCACAAAAAAGCCTAAGTCCGTCAACCCGACTAAACTGGTGGTGGATTATCGTCCACCATTTCCTTTCCGTGTCCTAAAAAATGTTAATAATAAGGAGGTGAGCACAATGGCTCAATAGGAGGTGCCTAAGATACATCTCTTGTGACCCTGTGAATCCAAGCAAGGAATATAAATAAGGAAAAATGGGATCATGCCAAGCCGGGGAAGAATACAACAACAATTTTAAGGCCATAAGTGAACAATATCATGCCATTGAATGCAATGCCATCTTATATCACTCCCCATTTTCAAAATCCCTTTCATTCATTACTTTTCAAACTGTTTACATAACCCGTACCGTGGCAACTCCATGGCGACACGAGAGAAGGATTGGCTACTGTCCCTAACCCATGATAACCCTGTGGCGTCATTTGGGGCCCAGATAACTCAACCACGCTAGGGCAATCTTCCTAATTCCCTTTAGGTCACATTAGCGCCACAGACCCTAGGGAACTCCTAGGCGCCCGGGTTTTCGCAAACCCTTTATCAAAACTTTTCCCTAAAAACCCTTTTTCTTTCCATTTCAAATCAATTTTTCCCATTTTCTTTGCCCAATGTCATGCATAAATGTATAATGCTTCTTAAATGATATGTTAAGAGAGAATTTTATACAATACAAGTCAACATCCACCATATACAAGACTTAGAGGAAATTTGAAAAGAAAAGTAATCCACATGTTTTATATTGTAAAATCTAGCAAATTAAACACAATAGGCATAGAAATTTACTACTTAAGCATGCTTTCTCATACAACATTAATTAACACACATAATCATATACTTCATATGCACAATTAAGTCATTCTAAAGTAAAATCAACACAATTTAGCATGCTAGGTAACAAATAACAAGAAATTAACTCACAAAGGTACAAGAATGTGTGGATTAGAGACCCCTACCTCAAATGGTGAATTGTTCTTATCAACGCGTAGATCATAACGACCTCTCCGATTTGCCGCAAACGACACCAACAAATTCTCAAAATTTAGAAAGTAATTGAAGTATGAAATTTGTGAAGTAAGAAAAAAGAAAATTGAGAAAAGGGAGGGGGAGAGAGTGCTTATAGGAGAGAAAGGAAAAGTGAGGCCAAAATGACATCTTGGTCACTAAACAATGAAGTGGTAGGTCCCACTAAAAAAAAAATCCTTTTTAACTTAATTTTTTCCACCACAAAAGTCATATATATGCTTTAATATAATACAACCACACAATTAAATTTACCACAATGAAATAATGCACAATGAAATAATGCATGACATGCAATGAACCCGTGACATTACCCCCGTGTGCAAAAATTCCAATAGCGGGTCCCACCCGGGACTCTCCGGCCCGAAAAACGAAAAAATGACGAAATGATAACCATTGCATTTCTAAGAGTCTTGAACTCAAAGAAATGCCCCTATCAACTCTTGAACATACACGGCACACCCCCCTGTGTCCGGCAAAACGAGAAAAGATGAAAATGTCCTTGCAAAAGCAGAAAATTCCAGAAAAATGAAAAATAGTGAAAAATAGAAACATTACAGGTGTATTTTGTGATGTGGCAATTGGTGGGATGTTTGTTATGTTTCTCTGTAAGTGCTGTTCGGCTTGACTTATTGTCAGGAAAAAAATAAAAATAAAAATAAAAAAGAAGACATACTTTGTGTGCTACAAAGTAGAAAAGATGTAAGAGACTTATCACTGTCATGTTCGATGCTCCTGGAACATGTGTCTGACACTTAATATGAGTTTTCATAAATAAAATATATATATTTTTATATTTTATACACTTTGCCAACACTTTGTTGACCGACACTTTTCGATATTTTTAACATAAATCTACCTGATAATTTTAAAAATAAAATGAGCACATTCTAGTGTTCAAATTTTTTCTTAAAAAAAAAAAAAAAAAAAAATAGCATTAAAATTAATTGAAATTTTACAAGTGAAACAAAAAATGCACTATTATAACAAAGTAGTGAAAATTATTACAAAATTTACAATAATGACATAATTTAATTTTCTAACTCATTTCAAAGAATCTCTAGTATAGAAATTAAAAATAAATTAAAGTTTTATAATACTATAACCCAAAAGATGTATATAAATAAAAATTCATATCTATGTATAATTGTGTCGACCGGTGTTCTACTTTAAAAAAATTGGCACATCCGGATGAAGGGCGAATCCATGAATTGTTAATGGGGGTCTAATATTAAATAAGGGAAAATTGGAGATTGAAAGATTAAAGAGTTCGAAAATTTTAGAGGAAATAGGGTTAGACTTTAGAGGGTGAGAATGAGTGAGCTCTCTGATTTGTGCAAGATTTGGAATTTAAGAGTTCTCTGTGCTTTGGCTCCCCCCCCGCGGGATCCGCCACTCATCCGGATCATATCATATCCATGTATACTAATTAGGTTATAAAAATCCCATGTAAAATTTTTAACCACGAACTCTTTACTTTAAAAAAATAAAGGAGTATCATTATACTACAACCTTCAATTATATTGCTACAAATATTCAAAATAAAAAAGTTTCACTATACTCCAGCCTTTAATTAATGCTACAAATACTTGTTTAATGGACTCTTCTTTGTGTGCATAACTGGAAAAGGAAGGAATTTGCACCAAATCTTAACAGACCGAGGAGAGTCACTTTGTTAAACAATTGACAGAGCTAGTAGGTGCACCAAATCCACTTTATGGTTGGACTATGTACCCTAAGATCTTGTTACCCCTGTTGACTCATAATCTAATCTGCCAAAAGCTCCAAATCTTTTTCTCTCACTCCCTACTTTTCTTTACAATGAGCTAAGCTTTTATATTCCCTCCTTAGTGCAGTATAAAAAAACTGCACCATCATGTAGTCTTAACCAACACAAACCACTCAAACAACTTCCAATCAGCAAAGGATGAGGAGAAACAGAGAAATGAAAGCCTACAACTTGTGTCATAAGCCACGGTGCAATGGCCTCTCTCTTGGCCTTCTCATTGTATTTGATTTCCTATCTTGTTTCGCATATGCTGAAACTCTCTACCACGAATTTGTGGTATGTCATCTTCTCCTCCTTTGCGTTTCCAGTATTTTTGAACCGGTTGTTGACATCATGTTTTGCCAAAATAGGTCGAAGCTACCCCACAGAAGAGGCTCTGCAGAACTCGTAGCGTTATTACTGTCAATGGGCAATTTCCAGGGCCAACTTTGGAAGCGCGGGATGGGGACACTCTTGTCATCAAAGTCATAAACAGTGCTCGTTACAACGTTTCCATCCATTGGTAATCACACAATTTTTATCGGGACATTCTTGTTTTACACTTGTGTTTTGCATCTTTTGATAGATTTTTATTTATTTTTTTATTTTTTTACTGTTATCATCCACCAGGCATGGGATTCATCAGAAGGGAACACCATGGGCGGATGGCCCTGAATATGTGACTCAGTGTCCAATCCAGCCTGGAGCGAGCTACACATACCGGTTCACAATTGAAGATCAGGAGGGAACATTGTGGTGGCATGCTCATAGCAGATGGCTTAGAGCTACTGTCTATGGAGCACTGATCATCTATCCCAAACCGGGCTCTTCATACCCCTTCTCAATGCCCAACCTAGAAATACCTATTCTTCTCGGTATGAGCCATCAATTTTCTTTCACTTTCAATGATGGCCTATGTCTCAAGTCAAACACATTTTTGTCTTAGTTATATTGAGTAACTAAGATGATGCTGGTGAACAGGTGAATGGTGGAATAGGGACCCCCTTGATGTCCTAAGACAGGCAATTTTCACCGGGGCAGGTCCAAATGTGTCCGATGCATACACCATTAATGGTCAACCTGGTGATCTATATAGATGCTCTAGAAAAGGTTTGACATTAGATAAGTAGAATCTCGATTATTCTGAGTTTACTTTGAATGCAATTAAGTAGAATCTCGATTATTCTGAGTTTACTTTGAATGCAATTAAGTTGCAATTAAATAAAATGTGTGACATGACTCTAAATTATGATGCAGGTACCGTGAAATTTTTTGTGAATTTTGGTGATTTGGTTCTCCTCAGAATCATTAATGCTGCACTCAATCAGCAACTCTTTTTTACCATAACCAACCACAAACTCACAGTTGTTGGTGCTGATGCTGCTTATAACAAGCCTTTCACAGCCTCAGTCATCATTCTGGGACCTGGTCAGACAACCAATGTCCTCCTAAGTGCTGATCAGACCCCACGACGCTACTACATGGCAGCACGCGCCTATACCAGTGCCCAAAATGTACCATTTGACAATACCACCACCACAGCAATCCTCGAATACATTGCTGCTCCTTGCAGTGTCCAAAAGGGGATTCCTTTAAGACCAACCTTACCGCGACTGCCAGCCTACAATGACACAACCACAGTCACTGCATTCTCAAGACAATTGAAGAGTCCTACTAGGGTCAATGTTCCAACAGAGATTGATGAGAGCCTATTCTTCACCGTGGGCCTCGGGTTTGTCAACTGCATTCCTGGACCGCAATGTCAAGGGCCAAACAACACTCGGTTTGCTGCCAGCATCAACAATGTATCCTTTGTACTCCCAAGAAAGGCCTCCTTACTCCAAGCCTACTACCAAAACATACCTGGTGTGTTCACCACGGACTTTCCAGCTGTCCCCCCAGTGACTTTTGATTACACGGGGAATGTGAGCCGTGCACTGTGGCAACCAGTTTTTGGGACTAAGCTCTATCAGTTGGAGTTTAGTTCAAGGGTACAAATTGTGTTACAAGATACCGCTATCTTGGCAGCAGAGGACCACCCAATGCACCTTCACGGATACGATTTTTATGTAGTTGGACAAGGTTTTGGTAACTTTGATCCCGGAAGAGATACTGCAAATTTTAACCTCATTGATCCACCTCAAAGAAATACTATCGACGTACCTGTTGGTGGATGGGCTGTCATCCGATTTGTGGCTGATAATCCAGGTAATGAAATGATAATCTGTAGTTGAAAACGAAATGTTTTACTAATCAAGATTCATTAATTCAATGTGTGCTTAAATCTTTTCGATTTCCAAAACAGGAGTTTGGCTGATGCACTGTCATATAGATGCTCATCTCACTTGGGGTTTGGCCATGTCGTTCTTGGTTGAGGATGGAGTTGGTGAATCGCAGTTGATAATGCCTCCTCCGGAAGATTTTCCCCCATGTTAAGATCATCAAAAGAGCACAATCAGTCATTGTAAAAAAGAGGATAGAGATTTTACTAGTCCTTGATGCACTGTCATATAGATGCTCATCTCACTTGGGGTTTGGACATGTCGTTCTTGGTTGAGGATGGAGTTGGTGAATCGCAGTTGATAATGCCTCCTCCGGAAGATTTTCCCCCATATTAAGATCATCAAAAGAGCACAATCAGTCATTGTAAAAAAGAGGATAGAGATTTTACTAGTTCTTAACTATACAAGTCTTTGGTAGCCTGCATTTCGTGTTTTGGTTTTTTTTTTTTTTTTTTTTTCTGTTTCGCATATTTTCTAGTTGCTAGTCCAGATCTTAACTCTGCTTGATTAAGCAGAAAAGTTGGCATGCTTGATTTTCCATTGTTTCGTTTTCCTAGCCAATATTGAGTTGTAACTTTTATTCATTATTAGTCAAACTAAAAAATCCTAATCACTTGATAGATTTACTATTAATAAAAATTCAAAACTAATTTCCAATGTTCCGCAATTTTAGTTTTCTTTTGACGTTGAAATGTGTTAAATGAGTGGCATTCACATCATAATCAATGGCTCAAATTTTGGTTCCCAATTTACACCCGCTCAGTTATTCGTGGAGCACAAGTCATGTTATCCATATTGAAGTTTGCCAGCCTACTATAAAATTTGTGCTAGCCGTTGATTGGTTTAAGCTACCACACACACACACACATATAAAATATTATTAGTTTCCTTTTACGGCTCATAAGTAGCTATATAATATAGCTGTATCATTATAATGATACAAATTTGATTGATTGGCGTGATCAATTGACATTTTTCTTTATACTTGGGCACCGAGTATTTGTTTGGCTATAAATAGCCTTATTTCTCAGTCAACTAGGAATCATTTGAAATTGAGTGAGTTATACCAATATCAGTATTGAGTGAGAGTATGTGGGTGTAATTGGGTTTTTGAATGTGAACCACTTTGCTTTGTATCTCTTTATTTTCATAATAAAATATTATTCTATCTTCTCTCCGCAGACGTAGGTATAATCGAACCACGTAAATCTTTATTTTGTTTGTGCATGTGCTATTTTCTTTTCTTGTCATTTATTTTTCTCGTGTTCTCATAAACTCCCATTCAATCCTTATTTCATAAAAAACTGGTACCAGAGCTTTTTTTTTTTTTTTTTTTTTTTTTTTTTTTTTTTTTTTTTTCAGAGTTTTTTGAGATGTCAACAAAATACAAAATTGAGAAATTTGATGGCAAGATTAGCTTTAGTCTTTGGCACATTAAAATGCAGCCCTGCTAACTCAGCAAGGTCTAAAGAAGTTGTTGTTCAGGAAGGAAAAGTTGCCAAAAACTATGTCCAACGAAGAAAGGGATGAGGTCGATGAAAAGGCGTGCAGTGCAATTGTTTTGAATCTAGCTGATGAGGTGCTGCATGAAGTTATTGATGAAGACACGGAGGTAAAGTTATGGCTGAAATTGGAGAGTCTGTATATGACGAAATCTCTCACCAACAGACTCTACCTGAAAGAGAGACTCTGCACCCTTCGTATGAAGGAAAGTATGCCTCTTAAGGAGCATATTGATAACTTCAATTATATTATTATGGATTTGAAAAATACTAATATTAAAATTGATGACGAGGATCAAGCCCGTATTTTGTTGTGTTCTTTGCCTCCTTTCTATGAACAATTTGTTACCACATTGCTTCATGGAAAAGACACTACTAGTATGGAGGATATTAAATACTCATTGAACTCTCAGGAGTTGAGAAAAAAAGTGTCTGGGAATATTGGAGATTAATAGGCCGAGGGTATATGATTATTTGTAAGAGGCAAAAGTGAAACAAAGGGTTCTGGTAGTAGAGGCAAATCTAGATCTCATAAAAATTTGGAATGTTACTATTGTCACAAGATAGGGCACATCATCAGGCATTGTTCCAAACTAAAGGCAAAGAATGGGAATGGGAAAGGGAAGGTTCAAGAAGCAGCTTATGCGGCGGCTACTACAACGAGTGACTTGAAAAGTGACGAATATGTTCTCATAGTATGTTATTTAATGACAGTTGGATTCTTGATTCTGGTTGTTCCGTTCATAAGTGTCCCAATAGGTATTCTTTCTCCTCCTATAAAGAGGTGAAAGGTGGTTTGATTTTGACGGCAGACAGGAAAACTTTCAAAATTTTGAGGGTGGAGCAATGATGATCATGATGGATTCTCTTATGCACTAAGGTGAAAATTTTGTATCTTCTCCAACGGACTACAGTAACAGGTGGAGCTAATACAAGATCTTCTATAGTTCGCAGAAATCTGCATTCAGGGCTTCGCAAAGGAAGAGTTAAAAAGAGGAGTGATGATCCTAATTCCCAAAAAGGTTGTGAAGGGAATACACAACGTGATGGGAGAATGAAATCCTTTTTCAGATGGCAACCAAAATTACAAACATCTTTATAGGGAGGCAGACCCATGAGGACATGTGTGATATTAACTTGAAATAATCTTGGTGGCAATGAGATAGTTCATTTGAGCGACACTAAAATGCGTGGGAGGCAAGTAGTTGGTCATAATAGAGATGCGAGGAAAAGTCAAGGACGATCTATTCTTCACAAGGGTGAGAATATGACTTTTCATTACCAATCGGTGGTTTGTGGGCGGTTGGAGAAGGTTGCTGGAGGAAATATCAAACTTAGAGTTTCTGAGGGTGTTTTTGGTAAGCACTTAGAGTTTAACAGAAATACTGGAGGTATGCTTGTAGCTGCGCAAGACATGCATGGGTTAAAGAATGAGAGCCCGATCATTAAGTTTTAGGATGACTCAAACTTAACTAAAATTCTTTATTAATTTATTTTGTGGCGAAGTCAGATTGTTTGGCAGAGATACAGTGGCTCATACGAAATTTTTGCTAAGGTGGAAATTTGTTAGATGACGTGGCATTCACATCATAATCAATGGCTTAAATTTTGGTTCCCAGTTTACACCAGCTCAGTTATTCGTGGAGCATAAGTCACGGTTTCCATATTGAAGTTTGCCAGCCTACTATGGAATTTGTGCCACCCGTTGATTGGTTTAAGCTACCATATATATATATATATACATAATATATGCTAATTTTTTGGTCATCAATAGCTGTTCTTGTGAACAAAGGAAACTAATATCATTAGTTTCCTTTTAAGGCTCATATAGCTATATAATATAGTTGTATCATTGTAAGGAAACAAATTTGATTGATTAGTGTGATCAGTTGAACTTCTTCATTATACTTGGGCACCAAGTATTTGTTTGGTTATAAATAGCCTTGTTCCTCATTCAATTAGGAATCATCTGAAATTGAGTGAGTTGTATCAATATCAGTATTGAGCGAGAGCTTGTGGGTGTAATTGGGTTTTTGGGTGTGAGCCATTTTACTTTGTATCTTTTTATTTCCATAATGAAATACTGTTCTTGTGAGATATAAATTCTATAATTGGCAATTTTTGGTGTCAAAACAAGTTCGAGCGAGTTGTAATTTTAAGTTTCCATATCAAGATCGAGATCTGCTGTTGAATTGGAAGGTTGTTCAAAGATACTATACTGAGATCATCGAGAAAGGAAAGAACACCACTTTAGGAAGAAATCTAAAAAGGTTTGGACACGTTCCATAATTGGTATATTTTCAGATCTTACCAAAACTGTGTTTTCAAACCTTTAGAGCTTAGGATTCAAGTCTGGCAAACTTAAACCGGTTCAAGCTTCTTGAAACCTGTTCAAGCCTTCAAACTTTGGCTTCGAAATTACTTTGCCATTCTTGAACCAGTTTAGCGTTTCTTGAACAGGTTCAAGGTCTTCTTTAGGTTAAGGAAACTTTGTAATCCTGTTCTGATTTATTTCCTAGTTGGTTTAGAATTATACCAAAAGTACTGTGCACGAAATTTCCTATATTTTCTGAAGGATTAGGTCTTTAAAAATTCTATATAAACCCTGATACATATCTAGGTTTAGTACGGCTTTTGCATTACAACTTCATTATTCATAAAAGCCTTAGGAAGATTATTTTTGCAGAAAATTCAAGTTGATTTCTCTGTCAGTCTTTCTAGAACATACACATAAACACAAGAGTAAGTTTAGAGTATTGTTCAAATCCTGATCGTGATCAAAGTCTTGCATCTACAACGATCAGAGAAAAGTAAATCTACTTCTACATCGAATTCAGATATTAAAGAACAGAAGTAAAAACAATCACACTTTAAAAGGGTCAAAGCATTCGTGGAGTGTTATTTGATCTACGTGCAACCATTCTACAGAGATCAAGCATAAGCTTGAGGTCAACTGCTGTTGGATGGGACGTCGCAAAGACAGAGGATTGTCAGCTATTGGTGTTTGGTAGAACGACAGGGTGTGGGCCAGAGTCAAAGTTTAGTGTACTTTATTTCATACATAGTGGATCAGTTTACTTTGGACAGCATAGTCCATGAGGTTTTTCCCACGCAAACAGTTAGCTTATTTTACCAACTAGGGTTTCCTCGCTAAAAATCTTAGTGTGATCTCTAACCCTTATTTTGCTTTATTTTATCTTGCATGTTTTTAATTATTTAAGTAAAGATTAGAAAGACATAGTTTTGTTTCTAAAAATACAAAACTCTTTAATATTCCATTGCGTATAACTCACAAATTAGTATCAGAGACAATCTCTACACATTGAGTTGATCCTTGTGAAAAGTTTTGATTGATTTCAAAATTTTGTTTCATCATGTCTTATGCGTTGAAAAAAGGTGCTTCTAATTAATGTGGTCCTTTATTTGAATGAAATAATTATAATTTTTGGAAATCAAATATGAGAGCTTTTTTGCAAAATTCAGGAGGTAAAACTTGGGCTATTGTTGAATCTGGCTATACACCACCGACAGAAGATAAAACTGTAGATGGTAAAGTAGAAAAAGTTTTAAAAGATGCATTTACTTTTACTGCTGTTGAAGCTGAGCGTAAGGATGCTAATAGAAAAGTTTTATATGCAATTATTAATTATGT